GACAATTATTGACCTTTTGAAAACGTTATCAAGTGGTATGGAGTCAATGCCATCATTATGATATTTCGGAAACTTGTTTGAAAGAGTTAATTAAGTCAAAACAATAACTGTCAACGGCTATTGTTCTATGAACCCGAACAAGTTTTATTGTATTTTACAGAAATCACTCTACTATTTGATGACACGTTAAATTCAACAAAATGCACGTTATATCATAATCCAATCAACACTCGTTATCCTTGATGTTAGACTAGATATTCACCGTTGATATCACGGACTTGTTGATGTTCTACAACCAAGTACAGGAAAATGACAAGGATATTAATTGCAAATGAATTACCGCATCCAATCATAATCATGGTTGACGGCTGTTATTCAGCTACGCCTCTATGAATATCTTCAATGATATTCAATATATATTGATAGTGGAATATTATATAGTCATGGCGTCCTTTAGTTGCATGTGAATGTTATAGTTTTAGTTATTAATTAATTAATTAATACAAATACTCTCTTTTTGTATTGTTGGTAGGTGTTTAATTATTACCGATGGTTATTTTAGGGAAATCAAATGGACTTCTTTTGTAATGTTTAAATAAACTAAAAAATAATGATGGTAAAGAACGATTGAGTGGTTTATTACGCGCACGGCTCGTGTGGCTGCGGCGCGAGTCGCGCGCAATGTCGTCGAAACCTCGGAACCGCGTCGAAACGTAACAACTACCGAACGGATGAAGCTGAAAAAGTAGGTGACCCACATTCGGAATGTATTTCATTGTCAAGTATCAAAACGCTAAACTTCCAATATCGCACGCACTCCACACGACGCAACTACTACGAAATTTTTGCCATTGAAAAAAATACACTACTTGTACGTGCTAATATGACTAAGTAATGGTTTTATGTAATCGATTACGCACACTAAAAAGTTACTTAAAATATTTAAATAATAGTTGAAATTAAATAATAGATGTAGTTTATGTATAATTGTTGTTGTTGCTACAAGATAGTTGCTTTTCTTCGAGTTTTTCTGCTGCAAAAAGTTACAGAAAAAAGTGAACGTGGAAGATCCAGCCGAAGACTTTGCGGATAAGGCAAATGGTTGGTGCGCGCACGCCGCCACGTTGTTATGCATGTGTTAATAGACGTGAGAAAGAAAGTCAATGCACTTTGGCGCACGACGAAATGCAGGTAAAAGTAAAAGTGAAACAACTTCCACTATCACTCGTCATTACCATTTTGAACTATTCCGAAGTCAACAATCGCTGCATCCACAAACACTTTGCTAAAACATTAAGTTGGTAGGTGTACAAAGAAGATATGTGGTGTTTATAGGGTTGTAAATTATAAGATATTCTGTAAAAGTTTTTGCTTAGATTTTCCTCTAATAATAACTCATAATTTATCGTAAATTCTTATCTTGCGATGGGTCTGCTGGAATTTTCATTTCGCGAGCAAGATTTCAATACCTCGGCGGCGTGTCTTCAGCGCGGCTGGTTGCACTACATCTCCTCTTGTTGTCGGTCCGAGGCCGGAGTGTATTCACCCCGAGCGTTTACATCAAACGCTTCGGCGTTCGTTATCCGCGCGTTTCGCGCGCCGCGAAATGAGATGATAGCGGGCAGAGGCCGGTAATAGTGGTGGCGGCAGAAGATGGCCGGTGCGGCCGCCGAACCGACGCTCTTCTAATGCGCGGCGACTCTTCTATCGCTTTACATGCGCATTGTGCACCATCGGAAGGCCCGTGCTCATGACCAATGCGCATCCGTTGCAATTTTTTTTGATAATCTAAAGAAGTCGAAGAATCTCGTGAGCATTCGTAGAGAAAGTAGAGGGTTACAAGTTACACGTTTGCTTTTACTTTCATTCCAAGACAAATTCAAGTATAAATATTTATCGCATTCCGAATACTCTTCCCGAAACTATTCGTCTTTTGATTACCCTTGATAAGATTTATAAAATTTAAATGTTCATGGGCAACATTCACAGACGAACCTTAATTATTCTAACATTGATGTTTATTATAACTATGAATGTGAATCGACTTCCATGAATTCAGCGTCTCAACCGGAAAACGGCCTTGCTTGGAATTTGAAATAATCTGTTGCGTCGTTACTATCATTATGACAATTGTCATTGGCGACATTACAAACATTTCCTTTTTTATTATACCAATCAAAATTTAGAAGGAGAAATTATATCCAATAATAAGTTATCTATTTTATATTAAATTATTTAATAGAATCCAATTAATTAACAAGGATTTTAGATTATGAATAACATTAGAATTTAATATGTAATAGAATTAATATTTGAATTCACATTGAAGTTAGCATTTGTCTAGTCTGGCTGGCGTGATGTTTTTATCTCGAAGGGCAATAAAATCGTTTGTCAACTAGATAATAGTTTCGAATGCCGTTTGCTGTGAAGTGGGGGCAATTATAGGATAGGATAGAATAGAATCGCATGGAATAGAAATCGCGCGCCGTCGTAGTCGTTGATAATTCGCGGCGATCCTACGCATTTTAGTCGACCGTCAAATCATGGCCAAACCCGCACAAACGTCGCTCATTGACAAACTAACCTAAGTTAGCAAACCACAATCGCGAAATGCGCAAATCAAAACTTAAATTCACCAGCCACGACTTTCATTCTTTTAATATTGCAACAAAAAATGTTTTTAACATGTATTTTTTTGTGAAATTATTCAATAACAATAAAATTTATTGATGCTTTAAGTTGACATCGAAGGCAAGCTGCCTCCGGAAACGCAAACTGTCGTCATTGCGTAAACAACATAACTATAAATAATTTGATCCTTGAATAACTCCACAATCTTGATTCTTATTCGTTTCTCACTCAAATGCTATATTTTCTCTAATTTTTTCAAATATCTAACTGTAAATATAATTTAACTTATAGATGAACTCACTGATTAATTACCTCTTTCATCCTCTCTTTGTTTTACTCACTACTTGGACAAGTTGAATTCGATCGCGATTACTTCGGCAATAAATAAATTGCAAGCCGATGATAATAATTGGCGAGCGAAATTGATGCGATTATAATTCATCTGAAATGCTGAAATTATACACTCACTGGGCGTTGAATCCTGAGCTTAGAAAACTCGCCTTCCGACACCCAGCCATGCATAGCTATTATGAGATAAGCATGCAATAAAATGCAAAAAATCAGATTCTCTACTTTCTATTGAGAGCTACCCATATACAGTGTTGCCATGTGTATAATATCACAAAATTAAAACTTTTCAACGTTAAACATCCTGGGATGGTTCAAGATGAGTGCGCGGAATCTTCTTACCCGGTGTACACACCTCCAGCGCGTCTTGGCGGTTGTTGTCGCGGTCGTTGTGGCGGTGATTTATTCGAACACGTGGTATGCGTTCCTGCGCATTCATCGGGTAACGTACGCGAGCGTGAGCGCGAGCGCCGCTCGTCGAAACGTAGTACACATTATCGAAGTTGACCCATTTCACGGCGAGTGCATTCAGCTAGCGACCACACAGGTTCTTCACCTCGCGGTCATCCTGCCCGCCTGCAAGTTCGAGCCACGGCGAATACAAGTACGCAACGCGCAAGTACTTCAAGTACTGCCAACTCCCAGTGCAAAACTGACTTAAGTCACCAAGGCGTACAACCAATATGCTCTAGGTAGTCCAAATTATTAGAATTACCAAAAACTATATGCACTATTATAACATTGGGGAGAATGTTTTTGATTTTAAAGTCAGAAAATAAATATGGCAGTTTGTTATTAGAATATTTATCGATTATTTGTTAACGTTTACAATTATCGATGGCGCTGATCAATGCTATCAGACGCGGAAGTGTCCTTAATACAGTCGTTGCGCGCCTGCCTTTTTTTCGGTCCGGCGAGTCTTGAACAACAGTTCAAGGCGCTTGGCTTGCAGTTGCAATTCGCCGCATTTCACACCGGGCCTTGTACTTTATTACGCGGCGTGTGAGATGTTTTAAACAATATGATTGCACGCCATACGAATCAAATTGTTTTTGTGTACGCTTATCTACGAATCTGCTACAATTCAAAATAGGGCCTATAAAACATAATGAGATTTATCAAAAATACATCAAACTATTATCAAAATAATTTATACAGATGAATTGGTTTGGTTTTATTTTATTATTATGCAATAAATTATTATTTGTAAAGTTTAAGAGTGCATGTAACCGACGTTGGTAACCAACTTATCTGACATACTATAATAGTATTGGAATTGGTTAAAAATAATTTTACAAATATTCCCTATTTTTACTGAATACTTCCGTATTTTACTAAGTACAGTTTAGATGACAGCAATTATTTAGTAAAGTCGCTAATTATCCATACAATGTAAACTATAACAATTCTTTCTTCTTTTTGAATAAGTATCTAATTAAATTTGGCAATTATAAGTCATCTTATCTAGACATTTTCTATTTTATAGTTATATAACTTCTGCATTTCTAAGTTCATAAAAAGTTTATTAAAAGTACTTATGTTCATTAGATTACCATTTAATTTAAAATTAATATTTCCATAATATTTCTTATTATAGAATTAAAACGTGTGTTTCATAATAGAATTATATTGCATAATTTTTATTATTTATTATTTTTATCAAGAAGAAAATTTTTACCGTTTATAACAGATAAGTAATCCTTAAAGGAAACAAAGTCAAAATAATTAAATTGGCTTAGTATAACTCAGTAAATTGATCAGTTTCACCGTCGATTTTATAAGATGTTATGTGATATAAAGTGAAGATAAGTAGATTAGTCATAACCAAAACTATTCTACCCGCCCGCCATAGACAACAATAATAAAATAATTCTAGTAGTGCGCGCTCGCGAAGGCCGGTCCCCGGCGCAGCACGCCGCGGCCACAGCAAAGCCAAAGTACGCCGCGAATCGCGATACGTACTCGCGAGGTGAGCGTGCGTGCGTCGCTTTTAGTCTGTTTTAGTCACTCGGCGGCCGTTTGACGAATCGCGCGCGCACTCTCCGCACACTCAGCCGATACCGCGTCTTTGCAAAGCGCGCTAAAACTACGCGCAACATTGCCAAAACTATGCTCCAACTTTGCATCGATCACAAAAACTCACAGACAATCGTGCTGACACAACCAGCATCCAATCAAACCTGAAAATGACACTCAAATAAAAATGCAACCCGATTAACATTCAACCTGTATGGATTATATTTTGCTATGCTATCATGCGAAGGACTTAATTAGAGTTTAGTGATTAGTGATAAGACTCGAATTGGATTATAACAATGTGTGACAGTGATGATCAACTGTTAATAACTCAGTGACTTACAAGAATAATTTAGTTTGTGGCAAATCAGTGAGAGTGTTTACCATACTTGGATTATTTTATCGATCAACAATGTCATACGCATATCTGCATTGATACAACCTATAAACAATTTGGACCAGTTTTGAGCACTCTGGATGCACCAGAGATAAGGTGTGTTGTATATTTTAACCTTAACTAATTAAGTAATAATTAATTCGTTCACTGGGTAATTGTTATTGTTTAAAACGCACAACCGTTTGATTTTTTAATATAAATTAAGTTTATGTTTCTTATCGGCGCATTTAGAATGTTATTGAGGTAACCAATAAAAACAAAAATTTAAAAAAGTCATTAACCTGCGATAAAGATTAGGAATAGTTTATGTTCATGAACGTGAAAATCGACCACGCGACCAGAATTTGAACCGCATTGTTTAGTATTGTTTTAGTCGGGTTCACACTGAAATATCTATTGTTTAATGAATATTATTGTCATCATTTATAGTCTTACATTTTCCTGTAATCATCTACAGGAAAAATGTAAGGTGCAGCGTTATCACAAAACATAATCGTAAAGCAATACAGACATATTATTATGAAGTAATTTATTAAGCGGTGGGTTTAACAGACGTCAAGCCAAAAATCAAGCGCGAAATATAAATTTAAAGTTTAATTTAATTAAAAACACGCACCTATATATACCAATATTTCATATTATTGATTATTTATGATTTTACAATTTGTAAAATAAGTGCATTTCCGTTATTAAACAGGCAGAGTATGATTTTGTTGTTGTTTTGTATTTCTGGTTTCTTGTTGTTGTGGTCGTCGTGAGGCTCGTGTGCAACTAGCATGTTTTAGTAAGTAATTAAGCTATTTTCGTAAAGAAAGCATTAAACTTTGAGAACGATGATATTGTGCGGTAAACTATTATTGCTGGCGATTTTGCCACACGCGCGACGCAGTAAGCCGATTGCGCAACGTGCGTGCCATTCATAATGCGTCTGCGAGAATGCATTTTCAAAGAAAGGAGGAAAAAAGACAAACGGACGTACAAATCACACCAGAGCAAATTGCCGTGTGCGGTACTCTAACATCAGTAGAAAATCATAAATACTTCTATGAATTCAAATTTCATTCATGGTTACAAAAATTGTTTACGCAAAATCATTCTTCATATTTTTACACAAGACATCAAATTATTATTAGATTTTATTACAAATCTTGGTTTACCGTAAACAAGTTATTCTTTAAATATTTTATATTTACTGTTGAGTAAAAGCGTTAGTAGAAAAACGCCGACAGATTCGGTGAAAGTCTATCTTAAAAGTGTTTTTATTTACGATTTACATTTCATCTAATTATCCATTCGTGCAAGAAGTAATTAGAAAACCGAATAATCAAAATTACACACTGGTATATTCTATGACTGTTATTAAATATTTGTGTAAAATGTTTTTATTTAGAATATTATTTTTATTATAACAGAACAGTTGTAAAACTAGTATATAAATAAAATTAATGCAATATTCAATGACACGCTTCCTCAACAAAAACAAAAACCGCAAAACTCACCAAGTAACACACATTCAACAGTGGCACTGCCATTTTTGCAAACTCGTCGCGGCAGAATTTTAATTAATCAGTCTCCAAACTTGCCCAAAGCGTATTACATGTGTAGGAATAAAAAAATATTGCCTTGATGAATAATATTACCGCAGAAATAAATTAACATACAATATGTCTCAGAAACTAATCAGAATTTAAACGAAAATAAACGAATATCTCCTAAAAAATATAAATGATTAAATATTTCAAGCCAAAATAAAAAATTAATATGGTGATGATTTGATATGTAAAATGTTTAAAATTAATTAACATTTAAGTTCATAAAAATAGTCGAGATATTTCTTCCTACATGACGACATTTTTTAAGCAAATAAATAAATATATGCCGTATAAATGCACTAAGCGTCTTTGGAGCGTACAACATTGCAAAGAATAGAAAACGTGTGTAAAGTCTAATGTTATGATTGGCGGCCTTGCGCGATCGCGATAAACACTACCTGTTCGCCTCTAACGAGCAATTCATTAACGCGCCTATGGCAGAGCTCGCTATTTTTATTGTTGCGTCCGTACACGCCCGCCGTGAGCATCTTCGCCAGCTTGTGCATCTCAACGCGAATAGCCTCTGAGTCAGTCTTGTGCTTTTCAATTTCCGTGGTATCGATCACTTCATATGAAGGGAAATACTTCGCAAAGTTTTGATGGCTTGAGGCTTCACCTGAAAACACAGTAATCTCGGCGATAAAATTTCAGTCATCTGTTTTTATTAGTCAGTTATCGTACCAATCGCGGGCGTTTTTGCTTTTTTTCTTCTGATCCAGTACTCATTAACGTTATTCAACGTCATGTTCCAGTATTTATCGAATGCGGTAACTTTCGCGGAGATTACACCCCGAATTCCGTGGCTGTGGCGAATTTGTACCTGTAGAATTAGATTATAATTATTAATACGAAATCAGGGAGCGTCACAAATCGCAAGCAGCAAGTTAGTCGCAAAAATATAGCGTGTAATTGAATTGTCCTTGTGATTCTGACATTAAAAAAGAATTAGAATTGAATTTCACAAGGTCGACCGCCCAGCGCTGACTACTTCATCATAAAACCTCAACCGAATAGCTTCAAGTAAAGATATACTTCATTTCCTTCATAGAGTATTAAGAAAATTGTTATTAAAATTTAACTAAAAAATTTTTATTGCCTATTCTAAATTTCTTGTTGTACTTGTGATTTGTGGTGTGATGTAGGCTTGTTTATTGCTCAATACAAGGAAATGTTCACGCGCATTCATGGCCTCATGGCTAGCAGACACTTTTTGTCGGCAGCACAATTTCTATAAAACTCACGCGTCGACCTCCCCGCCATCGGCTGAGACATTGCAAACATTGGCGATTTGCTTGCTCGATAACGAGCCTACCTACGTTGTCTCTGCGGCGCATTACTGCTCACCTAGGCAGCGCCCAATGCCACACCAGAAGGTTAGTTAGTCAGTCGGCCGGTCGTTTTGCTTAATATCATGGTCAACGCCATGGCCAACACCAAATTCAAAACCAAAGCGAAACCAACAGCCAAATCCGCAACTTTGTCTTAAGTCATTATTCACCACAAAAGCAGTGGATTTAAACCGCATCATTTAAAAGATGATCACAATGGTAAAAACCATTATGTTTATAATAATACGGTTGAAGTGTTAAGTCTTGTTAAAACAAAGAATTATGTTGAGAAGGTTAGGCGCAAAGTTACAGACGTGAATAGCAAAAGCAACTTTTTACTTTCTCGGACCTTGTGCGAACTTGTGTTAACATTGAATCGAGGACTAATATGACAATTCAATTTGTTTAAAAATCTACATCAAATCAATAAATATTGCACATTTGAGGAATGAAAGAGCGAACACTAATTTTTCACCTTGTAAGATGATAAAATTAAACATAATCAGAATATTGCGCATAAAATTCGTACATCGTTACGTCAATGTCAGTAAGAGTTCGCTCTTTGCATGGTTACTTCCATATAAAGCGAAGAACGCGCTCACCGCCGATGGCATTGAAATGCGGAGGACCTTGGCAAAGGACCTTAAATTCAAAACCGTACACTTCACCTCAGACACTCTCACATATACAGACACAAACACAAAGTTAATTCACGTAATATAAATACATAATTATGTATAAAAATGTCCAAAACTGAGCATCATGCAAAAAACTTCAATAAAATAATAAAAATCTCATTATCATTATGATTTAGGATAATAATAACAAAACGTCTGTTCGCACAATGTTCATTAGTAAATATAAACTGTTGCGGTGATGAATATTTTGTTAGCAACAAAAATGTAATATTTGTTAACTTCAAAACGTAAACACTTAATGTTTGTTTCGGTTGTGGAAGAAAGTGAACAACATTATTACGAGTTTACTTCGTTGCGTCCAAATTCAATGTGGTGTAATAACAATGCGATTTACGATATGAATTAAATGAGTTAATATGAATGGGTAGTAATATCTCAGCTTGGATAATTATTACGTTAGAAAGCATGTTTGTTTTCACTTTCATTTTTACTGCAATTTAATTCATTGTGGCAAGAATAGCGTTTTTTAATGGTTAAATTACTTTAACACTTTGATTTATTGTAGGTTATACCTTTTTTGTGTGAAGGCGCCGGGCAATAGGATTTTTACAAAAATATAACAAAATAAATGACGATATTTGGATCAAAATACCTAACTTTATTTTGCTTGTTTTTAATAAACTTTAATGTGTTAACTCATTATTAGTACAAAAAATAGTAAAAATTGTTTAATATTATGAGTCTTATTAACGCTATAAGATAAAAATATTGTTTAATTTTTATTTTCGTCCAAATTCTGTAGCCATTAAGTTTGTTTATAATCACGCGGCATTAGAAATTGATCGTCAGAGTGAATGACTGCTCGGCTGGCGCTAGATACCGGACCGAATGAGAATGCGCGGCGGTTTGCGAACCGCGAGCTGTGAGTGCAGGCGCGACGCGTTCACTTTCTTTGGGAGAAAGTGCTTTTTACGCCAAACGCACCGCTAAACGCGTTGTAGTGTTGCTTTTTTTTCACTGGCATTACGTCGAAATAGCTGAACGTCGTAAATAATTAAGCTCACGCAATCGCCATTGAACATAATCCAAACAAAACATTGTTATGCATTAATAACGCATCGAAATTAAACACAATAAAAGTCAAATAAATTTATTTCCGTTACGCAATAACAAAAATAATTAAATTTTGATTACTTACGGTGATTTGAAGTTGATGAGTTCTTGCTTTTTCTAAAACACCAAATACTCCTTCACTATCTTTGTATGATTCCATTTTGGTGAAGATTGTTTGCAAAGGTTTACGCGTTTTCGTCGATTTTATGGGCACTGAAATTTTCAGAAAAAAAAAAACATTACGTTATGACTTACTCTGTATAATTATTGTAAACTTATCATCTTATCAATTAGGTCATGCATTTGTTTGGTAATTATTTTTATTAAAATTTACGCAAATCCAAATCATTTACATTTATTTATGTAACTATAACACAAGATTTTAATGTTTGTATATTTTTCGCTATTGCCTGAAAGAAAGTCTAGGAATGTCCAAATAACATTTTCTAAACATTTTCCGGCGATTCATTTTCCTAGGCTAGATTATAACCGCGATGCTATTGCCGTGTGTGTGCATGTGTAGCATGCGAACTTTGCGCGGTCGTTCAACTCGACCGAACCGCGAGCTCGCGAGCAAACGCGACGCGGAGAGCGCGAACGCGCGCGCGCGCACGAAACGAAACGCAAAACGGCGAAACGCCCGCCGCGACCGCCGCGACGAGCGACGTTTATTACGGAATAGTCGCGGTCTAGGATGCGCCGGCGAGGAGTGCATCGCGAAAGCGCGCAGATGAACGCGAACGCACTTGCACTTTGAGGAGCAACGTGCGCTCCGTTCCCTGTTCGCATCTAGTCGATCTAGTCTCAGTTCGTCTAAACAAGCTGGTCTTGCTGTGGAGAGAATGCCTTGCACTTGGTCTTGTTGCTTGTTGCTTTATGCAACAATCGTGTAGGTACTGAATGTCATAAAAACGCACGCATTATAACAGAAATAGTAATTTGCAATTTACTATTTAGCAAATTTCTAGGCAAAAGTGAAATGCACTCACTCGACTCCGTAATAGTGGAAGTAAAAGAAAGTTATTGCGCAAACACGCACCAGCATTATGATTGCAATTGCATTTAATTCCATCACAATATCTAAATTATAAAATAATGATTTTATACTTTAAACACAAAAATAACTAGATTATAGAGATTATAATCCAAATTTAAAAGAAATAAACTTGGGATAATGGTTGGCGCGACACAGTTTTGCGTTTGTAAAAAACCGTGCATGATAAAAATAGATATCCCTGACGTTGGCCAGGAAACTTGTGCGACACGAGGACATTCGAACATTCGTACATTCGTCTAGGTTCACTAATATTCATCTAAAAATTAACCATGTCAAACTTCACACACGAAACTTTTGCACAATAAAATAATATTTATTTGGCTCCCGGTAGGCATTCAATGAAGTTCATTAATCTGTCAGTGGCAAACCTTGAACCTATTCCGAAAAGTTGCACAATTGTCGCGTTTCCCTGCCAGCTTTATTCGAAATTATATTTTTATTCAAAACATGTGATAATAATAAATGCTGGTAAATTATGGATGGAATTTAGATGCTTAACACGGTTTATCTCTTTAGCGTAATTCGCCGCATTTTCCGACCACCAACAAACGAAATATAAATTTCTGTTTAGTCTGATTTTGCACACACTCATAGTAAATACTGACTCATGAAAACTATTAGTATACATTCACATGTATGTCAACACGTGTGCAAAAAAAATATATTGCTATAAAGTTTATTATTTATTTTCCCTGCAAAAGTATCACTTTTTTATCCCCTTGACCTACTGATATAATTTCCGGAATAAAAAATGTTCGATATATAATTTTAGCTTGCTGCAGAGACTAATTTAAGAGAAACACAGATAGATCACCAAATATGAGACCTTTTCACCGATGGAACTCCCGCTATCCTATTTATATTCATATAGATCTACACGTGTACCTCATTTCCGCGTATTGTTAAATCTCCATTATTCTTCTGCTGTCATCGTCGTGCGCCACTTAAGTTTTATTTCAAAAACTAAGCACACACTCATTTGAGATTTTTTTTGTGACATTTCCAACATTTTCTTTTGTAGTTTTTCTCATCTTTCTTGTATTTATCTTATGGTGATAAACCTTTACGTCTAATTAATTACCCAAAACAATTTTTCTTGTGTTTGTGCGTTTGCGTATCTGTAGATGTATGTGATTGTTAGTTTTGGCTTATTGTGGGTCGCATGTAAATATAGAATGGCCATAGACGGGACAGCGTGCGGAAAATTACATAAGTAACAATAATAAAGATCTCGTCTTCTGCTCGCGTCTGGCGCGTTTTCCTCGCTTTTCACGCGCGCACGACGAAAAACGATCGCGCCTGCCAAGTCTGTGCAGGCCGTTGCTCCGAAATTCAAGCGGGAGCACTGGAACAAAACTATATTTAAATTAACTGTCAATGACTCGCCGAACCGCATTCGATATACTACATGTTAATACAATTTATTTCCTGTATTTAATATGGCTATCAGCATTATTCAATAAAACATCAATCACGAGTGGTCATCTCTCACTCATCGAAAGATCTTAATAAAATATTTCACCCAACGCAAATACTATAAATATTTACTTTTATTTTTAACTCGTCAGTTGTCACTTACTTTGATGCGGTTGGAAACGTCTCTGAAACTGGTCCACCTGTTGCTCCTTAGAACTCCCCGGCTTGGGTTTTTTAAATACATCGCGCTGTGGCTGATTTGCGGTAGCGCCACCTTGTTGCATTCGCTTTAAATGTGAATTAAACATTGCTAGGTTATCAAACGTTTTCGCGCCAGGAACTGGTGGTCGCGCCGACTTGCACTTCAACGCTAACAACGGATCGAATTTTTCACTATAAAAGTCCAACTTTTCTTCAGTCGTCGTTTCCTTCGCTCCCGTATCCTTGTCATCGTCTTTTTCCTTATTTTTTGGCGCACTATCACCAGGACCAGGCTCCATTTCACTCGCTACCGCACATAAACACAATAGAGTAATTATCAGCTGGTTTTCGTACGTCTGGCGCCATCTGTTGCAAACTAGAGGAAGTGAAACATTACGCGCGCGCGCTTAGTGTTTAAATGTTTCAATTTGCAAGCGCACGCGAAAACTTTCACTGCTTGAAAAGTGCATAATTGTTTCCTTGTGTTTTCTTCGCTTGGCCCCCGCGTAAATATTCTTGAAATGCAAGATTATGAGTTTGTAAAGTTGCATGCAACACGCGCGCACGCCGTAATTGTGTAAAAGGACGAGTCGTTTGCATAATTTCACACAGTTTTAAAACTATCTGATAGGAATGAACTGAAAGACATTGCAAAAAAAGTTAACGAGCTGCTGGTAAAGGTGATAGTTAATCAGATAGAAAGTTTTGTCGTGTGGTAATGGACATGAAATTTCCATATGTTAAACTGGACATTAATCCTACAAATAAATATGATTTGCTCAAACAAAATGTTCCTGTGCTAATTGTTTCGTGAAGCGATCGATTTCCGCGTTTCTAAGCCACGCACACGAGACAATAATTATTAAATTAGTCGCATCAATGAACTGTGGACTCTTTGGCATGTTGCGGTGCTGCTGTTCAAGATGCAAATTGCACTTTCGCTCTCGAACCGATCACCGCCGCTGATTATATTATTACTTATTATTACCTGCCGAAGAGCGCAATTAACAGCGGCACTTGCGTGTTGAACGCCTTCCGCATTTATTCTAATTAAGTCGACTATTTTTTAACTTTTTATTGCATACTTCCCTACTTCCTACCTTTTTAATAATTTGTTTCTAATCATGTTGCTTTTTGGCTTATTGTTGTATCTTATTGTTGCAGGTGCTGTCGGAGCGTCAGCGTTCATGTGTCGACAAAAGTTCGATATCTATCGCGAAATCTCACGGTAATTCATACTCTATAAAATATATCACATTATGTATACATATTGGTAATGATCAAAAAATATTATTTTAATGGCTTTGACATATGAATGGGTGCATGCAAAATTTAATGATTCAATTTTACTGCCAATACATAACAATAAAATCGTAAAATTCAGTATGTGGATAATAAAAATCATAATATTTACAATATCCCAATGTAATGGATTTATTAATATAATTTTTAGATCTTTGTTAAAAGCCAATTGCCTTGACGGACGCGCAACTTTTGGGGGATAAGTCGGGGCAGCAAGTTTTGGACCCAAGCAGCGTCCCTCAGCCGCGCAACCGTGGCGGGGACCCACGTCCTGGGGGCCGTTTCGCCCATGTCGCTGGCGATGCCCTTTATTGACAACGACCTGCTTTGGTGTCCCGACAACGATGGCAAAATGGTCGATTTGTCTTCCTGCCTGCAGGTGTGTACAATAAAATATTACCTTAGTATTAAGTGAGCTAAACAGTAATTTAGTCTCACTATACTTACGCTTAACTAATCGACCCTGTAATAAAGTTTAGAGGCGTGATGCCTTTGCTATTTTTTTACTTCCACCCAATTTTCATATTAAGGTTTTTGTAAGGCACGGCATTTTATATGGCCCTATCCAATATCAATGCAGCCGCGACAAGTTTGGCAAGCTTTACCCGTGACCAAATCCCTTGACTAAAGTACTTCGGTCACGACATTGACCGTACGTTACCAAACTGTCGCTTTTTGGGCCACGATACCGTGGTAAAAGAGGCGCTATAGTAGTGGAAGTAGAAAAAAAAACATATTATTTGCGGAATTAAATTCATTTATTATTCAAATTCCACTCTTTTTACTAATATTACCATTTATGTTAGGATGCATCAGTTGCAATTGGGCAACAAAATGGCGCCGCCGGAGGCGGGTTGGGTGAATTGTCCCAGTCTGACCTCTCAAGCCTGGTGCCGCCGATGCAGGAGGATCAAAATCACATGCCCGACACCGAAGACATTTTCAAGCATCTCAATGATCCCACATTTGAGTTGGACAACCTACTGAATGAATTTAATGCTCAAGAAATTAAGGTAAATATTACTATACAGTTGTTTTCCTACCATGTTTGAATTGTTTGATTCTAAATTTCGTACTTTTTAGCAAGAAGAAAATAACAATAATGTGCCGAATATGGATCACACGGTGAGCAGTTCGAATTTGAACCAAAAGAATCCGCAACAGGTGATGTTGGAGATGCGTTCCACGGCTATTAAATTTACTATAGCCGCCGCCAACCCGTTGCTGGCGGAAAAATTAGCAGCGCCAACTACAAACGGTCAGCATCTGCACAATTTAAATACTCCACAACAACGGCAACAGATGGCGCAGCTGACACCAAAAGTTGAAAAAGGTAAGTGTAGGAATGGTTGCCTATGTTGAGACACTATAAACCACTGCCAGAATCGTGAACGTATTTCAATACCATGAGTCGTGACGAAACTTTAATAAGACATTCTTACGAGTAGATCGAATTTTTTTGAAACTGTATCCCGAATGGAGGTACATATTTTGAAGATTTTCTTGTATTTTAATAAGTGATTTTAAGTATTTTAATTGGACAGCATTTTACTGGTTCACTTTTAATTTTAAAAAATTAAAATTTTCTGCGAAAAGAAATTTAACACTATGAACGAAAATACAACTCTTATGAAAAATACACCAATTTGAAACATAATGCTTGTCATTATGCGCATTATTGGTCTTCGTCCATGTGTCTCACGCGATGTTCAACTCACGGAGGGTCGAAGGGTGTGTATGCACCACTTAATCACTGACGTATTCATTCGGTCTGCGCTCGAAGCCCTGATCTACAAAGACACAACGTAACGTATTCAAACAGTAGTCCAGTCACGCACGAAAAATGCCATCATTCATCCGAACGACAGAGTCAAGTGTCACAACTTCCAAGCCATGGTGGTGTCGAACTGTTTAGTGTCAGATTTATTAGGGGGTGTTTTAATTGCCCATTGAGTAGCCATGGATAAAAGTTCATGTAAACAAAAAATACTATGGGAATAAAACCTCAGAAGACAAGATAAAAAAGGTTGAGATCGGGTAACTCCAATTTCACGTTGATTTCATGGCTGTTTATTATATTTCATGTATAGAAGCTGTAATGTCGTTAAAACTTTGTTGTAGACAATAATGAGGTCTGTGTTTTTGAATAACAGTTGCTTCCTGAAGAAATTTAAACAAACATGTAGCCACTGAATTAGTCTTTAAAAGCTTTACTAATAATGTACGAGTATAATATTCATCACATTTTTTATAAGAGATTAGGAATGTTATAAGACGTGACATTTAATGTTATTTTAAAATTCTCCCTTACGAACAAAATTACTCGACTGATATATTTGAGTGTTAGGCACGTGTTCAATTTTCACCCCCAAATTAGTAAAAATAGTAAAAAGTTAACTTAGATAAATATTTTAAACGATAATTTTAAAATGTGGAAATAACATGTAAAAAGTTTTTTCCTGGCGTGATAAATTCCCCAAAAAGTAAATTAAAAATAGAATTCGTTTTACTGCATAAATCTCCACATGCATATTTAATAAAATTATATTGTTTTAAATACAACAATAGTTTGCCTAAATTCATAGTTAGAATGTTTTAGGAGTATCACATATTATATAATACATGCTAACAAATTTATAACTTACGAATTCAACTCGCAGTAACAAGTCCATAGTTATTCAAAGAACTTCTCCCACATTTCATAAATTTGGGTCGCCTTAAATACTTCGGAAGTAGAACATGGAAATAAATCATGCGGCACTCACCGAATATAACGTTTGCGACTTTATCTGCGTTTTACGACCTACAAGTATGCCTAATTAATTAGGCCACCCCAGATATCATACAATTAACGAATGTGGTACAAACCTTTGAAACATGGCTGGCGTAGGCGTCGAATTGAATCAACAGGCACAACCAGACTCAACAAAGACAAACAAAAAACATGAATAGGGGGATAAATTGGGAAGCGGCGCAAAAAGTGTTGATTAATTGCTCTAGGGTGATGTTCAAATATTAAAAGTAGAAAAAGGGTTAGTCTAGAAAGGAGGTGACCTAAAAAGGACCACTAGAGGATGTTCCAATGTGTAATATGAACTTTACAGATGATTGATAATAATTTACCGTGTAGTAAGTTGAAAGAAAGGAAAAGGAAACTGTAAAAACAATTTCCTTTGCTGCGGATTTTCTGTTGTAATTTATCTACCAGGTGCAGTTTAACATTTTCGTTAAATATCAAAAGTTTGAAAGTCTTTCATAGAAAAAGCTAGTTTTTTTCAAACTACGCATTAAAATTCTAGACTCTTCGAAATTCTGCCAACCTGAACTTTAGATAGTGTATCGTAAATTACGGCAAACCACCACATGACTATTAGCAACAGGTAAGACGCGATCGAGCGTTCAACGAGTCGAGCGTATTCTGTGTTCAAAATCAGCCTTGTAACCGTTTCGCCGTATTTTAATTTTTAATAGCCATCGCGCGAATACGCACTCGTGCTTCATCATTTTCGTTTGGACATACTAAAAGACGACAAAACAAAATTTTCTAATTATATTTTTATGTCTTTTAAAAATTATGTAAATATCAACGCATCTGCAATTAAATACGTGTTGATTGGTGATTCTGATAGTGATTGTAAGCATGATTCCAATTTCTAAGTATCCGGTGAATTGCGCAGAGGAAAAAACGCAAAAAAGTAGCATTTGACGTCGTCGTCGTCGTTGGCAGTAAGCAGGTCATGGCTGCCATTGCGTCAGTTTCACTTCTGCATAAGGAAGTCGCGTAGCGGCGTCGAAAGAAAGGGAAATCCTTACGGGCGCACCGCGAAAAGCAGCCACGAAACCGCTCTCGGCGCGATTGGCAAACGTGTACGCGAGATTAAATTGTTCGCGGAGATGCCGCAACACCTCCTTCGCCGGTTGCCACACACACCGACTAGCATTTATTCTGCGCAGTTCTCATCATCATCATCATCCTAGCCGATCGCAAGCGCCGCGCAGAGTCATTAAGACGATTCCTTGGTTGGATGCCTGAATTACTCTTTCACAATACGAGAGGCATTTTAGCGCAAGACTGTGATGCATGAAATCGAAAATGCGATTTTTAACGTTCACTAAAGAAAATGCATAGGAAATGCACCCAGTTTCAAATGTCGTTATATTGTGACAACAATTGGTTTGCTATTATGTCGTCCAGAATGCCTGGCTTGACTTTATTGCCTTGCATCAACTGACATTTAAAACGAACATATTAGTACATACTATTAGTACATTTGATATTTAACTTTAGTTTTGAAACTTTAAATTGTATATAGTTTGTTAACAAAAATATAATTCATTCCTTATATAATTCTGTAGAACTAAATTAATTTCTACCCATACGTAGATTTTCTTGATTTTATATATTGGTCAGTATTGACGATGTAACTCTTGATAGTTTTGAATTAGCACGAGCTGGGTGATTAAAAAATCACACCGTGTACGGCGTTGCGTTGTTGCGTATCGCAGGGAATGCGGTTCAAAACTCGCCTCAACTTGAGGCGACTTAACGGTCAGAGCGCTTATCTCGGTTGCTCTTTACGCACTTGTCGATTTAACTGATTTTGCAATCGTCGTAATGAAATAATGAAAACCTGAAATATACCTTATGGATACTGAGATATTTGGGTATAATTAATATCAATAATGATCTGGAAATATTCAAACATCTTGATAAATAAACTATATCAAGGATAATACACTTTGATTAAAATATTTTCACGTATCAACAGCTTTTACTAAGATTTAATATTTGCCCACGGTAGATGTGTACATGTAACATTTATTGAAAAACGTTTAAAGCATTTAAGACGCTTAAAACGCTTAAAATGTTTACTGGCTTCACTGGGCTTGCCAGATTCGCTTCTTAGCACTCTGTGTCTCCGCTGATTGTACACGGCGAACGAATCGAACGCTGACTTGCACAGGTGTAGTTCACCTCGTGCCAAATAAATACTCATTTTGGCACGAAACGGATTAGGTCGACACTCGCGGCACGAAGCCGCAGAACGTGAGACATGTGTACAAGATGCGCACACATCCAGCGAATTCACCACCACGTCTTTTTTCTAATAAAACTAAATTCTAATAACTAATAACTAGCTGGTTTAGCAATCGAAGGAATTTCCAACGCAAAAATTTCAATCTTTCTCAATATTAATAGTAGTTGCAAGTGTTTGTGATATCCGAGGAAATTAATGCGGAATTGCGCAAGCGCTACGAACTAAATTATAATTTATAAACTGGAATCATACATCACGAGCGCCGCAATGAAAGAGAAAACACATGTGAAAAAAGCGCTCTGGGCTATTGTTGTTGTTGCAAGCGCACGAGCGCACGAGCACAAGTGTCGTGTCGAAATTGAGGCGTCCAAGAACAGAAACACAAGAACTTTGCGCACGATGTAAATTGGTGAAGTGTTAAATGCCATAATTGCAAACTTATACCTTTTTTGCCCAACTACATATTAAAATATCTTTATTGCCTCTTTACTACCGTTAGGGTAGTACGATATGGGTTGCTACACTAATATGATACAATAACATTAAATTTCTGTTTAATAATAATAAGTTTTGTTGTTTGTTTCAGGTACGTCTAATTTTCTTTTGGATTTTTGATGATAAAGTGTGAGTACGCTCATGATTTATTGAATTTTGTTTAAAATCCAGTTGGGCACATCCTGTTTCTTTTTCTGTGCGTCAAGTCATTAAGTAAAAATAATTAAGGGTTGAAACATTTGCAAAAACACAAACGTTAAAATCTGAAATTTCCAGCCGCGCACGTTTTTGAGGGTGACATATGTTTCCCCTTTCCTGACTTTTGAGCTTTCTATGCCCCTGTGTTTACATTCCGCAACATAAAAAATACATAAAGCGCTTTTTGTAGTTGCATCTAAACAGTTCCAAAATATTTTTACGGATGGTAGCGGTTTATTTCGTGTTTGAGTTAAGAAGTAGCAATTTATGTTACTCAATAAGATCGTCGTCATCGTTGAAAAAAAAAAGTGTTAGAAGAGATACCGACACAGAAAATGATCATCGAGAGCCATTAACATTCCATGCGCGCAGAAATGTGCACTTTGAAACGTTTTTACGAGGCTTGCTAGTGTCATGATGACCTAATTTTTTGCATGGTAGTCAAAACATTCAAACAACGCTAAAACAAACGGCAACACGAAAAGATGAAACGTGACAAGGAAAGGGAAATCTCTTGGGTGTTACAATATCATAATTATGTCACACTTCAACGTACGATAATACTTACACTTTGACTCAGCTTTTAGTTTCCAGTTTAAAG